CTGCAGGGAGAGAGGCTCTTTTTGGGGATGAGGCATGTCTGTGCCTGTGCTATGTTTTGCCTAATGCCTGAGACAGCAAGGACTGTGGGTGGTGGAGGGGGTGATGGAAGCTATTAGGTACTAGAGAAATACGAACTACTGATCACATTTGACTGAAAATCAAGACAATTCCAGGGTGTATCCTAGTAACAGCAGTCGTCTCAAGTCCAGGACAAAGCATTAGTAGGCTTCAAGGGTCAATGTTACCTGAAAATGTAAAGCTAAATAGAAGCCGCTAAGTGTTAATTGGTTTGCAATCATTCCTCTCAATACTGTTGCCAAGAAGACAGCAAAGGTGATGGAGGGAGCATCTCTGCTTTTTATCTAAGAAAATGAGATATTTGTGCTCCTCTGAAGAAATCAGACACTTGAAAGTAGAAGAGTCAGAAAGAGTTGATTTGCTGGGATTTCTATTTGATCTGTTATATTGTCCTGAAAAGGTTAAGAATGTCCTGGGTGATATTCTGTAAATGCTTCCTGAGAAGCTTAACATAGCAGAAGTCATGCAGGAAAACTGTTGCCTGGAGACCCTATGCTCTAGTTTGCCTAAAAGAGTAAGGTGATGAAACTTTTCCTTTCAGAGATCCATAGGTCTTTTAACAGCTGGACCTCAGTCTGAAGGCAAATTACTTATTTCAGGACTTTTGTGGCTCTTTTGGAAATGAAAGAATAGTTATTCTTTATGTATGCTTTTTATTTTTCTCCAAAGGGGGAGCTGATGTTTTCTGCTCACATGGAAGTGCTGCAATATACACTGTTCTGTGATGTTGTGCCAGACAACATGGACTAAACCAGCATACCCATCCACACTCAGCTTTGTCCGCTGGTAAGTACCCCACAGTCACAGGGTTTAGCTACTATGCAGAGCTATTCCAGTGATTTAAGTCCAGCAGCCTTGTTCCATTCTTATTTCTTCCAAATTTTGTCCTAATGAAAGTCAGTTTTCCCTTGAAGTGGGTTTTGTAGAAACACCAAGCACTTTGCTAAAGCCAAGGCTCCATCACCTCCCCTTGTCCCAAGTACCAGGCGTGTTTAGCATCTTGTGGGGTTCCTTTCTGTTAGCCTGCCACCAGCAGTGGTTAGACATGGAAGAAACAGGCATTGTTTCTGGAAATTCTTCTGATGCCTCATGGCAATGTATGCTGCATTATGCCATTATTCAGAGCCTCTGTCAGAATCCCTTATGTTCCTGATTTGCACTTTCCTCTGGCTTATTGAAAGTTTAAATATTAAGTTTAAATACCAATTAAGATGGTATCAGACAATTTGCATTTAAGAATGCATCAGCTGTTAGCAAATTCTGGCAGCTTCTCATGGTGATGTTCAGGTTTCTCCCCAAGACAGCAGTTTAACAGGACTCAGCATACTCACATTCTCTGCTGCCAGCAACCCATCCCATGCTGATCACCTTCTACAATTGATTACAGACATTCGTATATGAGGGAAACAACAAATTCCACTGAAATGATCACCTTAGACTTTCGTAAGCTCATACTTTCTGGTGACTTCAGCAATGTACTTTCTCTGTAGACAAAAGGACTCCTTACACTTGGAATCTGTAGTTTGTCTAAAAAAGCAGTTCATATACAGTTAAGGCAGGAGCTACAGATGCTTCTTTCAGAGTTACTGATTTTCTCATGAGGTGCTAAAAACTTAACATCTGGACACAGGACCTTGTGCTGCCAGCAGTGGTGAGGCTTTCTGGCTTGTTCTATCCTCAGTGCTTTCTGACAGGTCAGCAGTGATGGGTATAGGCCACCAAGCATACGGTTTCAATGTCAGACATTTCTCTTTAACTACTGGTGTTAGCTATGTTTGTGATGCTGTTAATCACAGCTTAAATAAAAATATTAAAATCACCTTAACATTAGAATAATCCTTTCCTGAATGCAGGGGGAACAATCCTAATTTGTCTTCAGGCTACTTAGAAGTGTGAAGACAAAGCAGCTAAGGAAATAAGAGCTTGATTTTATAGTTTAAAAAAGGCTTAAGAGTGCAAGTTTTTCTACCATTGTTATTTAACTAATTCAGTGCATATATCATGGTACCATTCTGTTTTCTTCTACAAAAGTTATGAGGCTAAGGAGAAAAATAAATCGAGTCTCCCAATCCTCTTTGTGTAGTTATTGCCACAAGAGGGGATAGAAAACTTTCAGCAGTGTAGTGAATAAAGCAGTACACCTCATTTCTTGTCACAATCACAGAACATTAGCTGAGTTGGTTAGAGCATGGTGTTAGTAACACCAAGGTTTGTGGGTTCAATCTCCATATGGATCATTCATTTAGGAGCTGGACTCAATGCTTCTTGTTGGTCCCTTGCCTCAGAATATTCTGTGAATCTGTAAATGTATGTTTGCATTTATTCTGAACACCACAGGAATGCTTGGCAACAGTGTAGCTCAAATTCTGCATGGTCACCAATGGCATTGAGCTAAATGCTTCACTGGGCTAGCAGAAAGGTCAGGAGCTCCTCACAGGACACTGGCTGGGCTGCCATCATTCTCTGGAGAAGGGCAGACTCAAAACAGTCTCAGGCTTGAGCATGATGGCCCAAGAGGTTGACAGTTCTGACATTAAACTTACTGTCTGGATATAGAATTACTGAAAGCACTTTTTTTTTTTTTTTTTTTTTTTAAGCTGTAATGCAGAACAGGAACAACTGGCCTTTGGATAAGGTGGGCTCAGTTGCAGATGTAACAAAAATGACCAAGGAGCAGCATGACCACCCAGCAAGGGAAGGAGCCTGTATCTGTATGCCTTCTGTGCAAGGTAAGAAATGAACTTAAATTGCTGGATCTCCTAGTTCAGGGATTCTGTTAGGCACTGAAGTGCATCAAGAGTTGCACTAAAGCATTGTGACCCTATGAAAAGCACAAAGAAGCTTAGGCATGGTGCTAGATTGCTGGCATTTGTCACTGTGGCTTTAAATTTCATACCAGCTTGGTGTTCTAATCATTAAATATACTTCCTGCATTTAAATAACTGTTAAGTATGTCTGAACAAGGTCTGCATTGTAGTAAAGTAGCAGCTCTAATCCAACTGAGGTTCAGAAGCTTAAAGACTATTCCAGAAACTATAAATTTCACAAAAATTAACTCCTAGAAATTTTGTGCAGCTCTCAGAGGTGCAGAATAGGGTTAGTAGTTAGCACATGCTGGCAACCTGGATCAAGTAATCCACACAACAAAACAAGACCACAACCTAATCTGCACAACAAACCATCAACCAACCTACCAATAAAACCCCCAAACCCACAAATATAAAACCCCACAAAAATCATCTTTATCCTGTTTTTTTCTTCTACCTTGACTGAAAGTCTGAAAGTTGCCAATTCTAAATAAACAGATGTAACATATATATATATATTTGTTGGGTCATAATGCCATAAAGCTTTTGGGGAGACATACCAAGAAGAAAGGAAGGTACTTGAGAACACCTGTATTGTGGGTCCCTTCCAACTCAGAATACTCAGTGATTCTCTGATTAGCATGAGGTAAAATGAGGTATAATTAGGTGGGCAAAGTGTAAGAATTGAGAGATTTTTTTGATCTGGACTTTTAAGCAATCAGTTATTGCAGCAGCTGTAATAGGGTTGTAGGCTGTCCCTGAATGGAAACCATGTTCACTTTTTGAGCTGCAACTCCTCTTTTAGCAACCTTCACATGATAAACACCTTATTTTCTTTTGAATCTGTATCTTCCTGAGACTGAAGCATCTAGTTCAGGAACAATTCAGGCCTGCTGTCAACATCAGATTTTAGTTTTAACTGAGAAAAGCTGTCAACAACGCTACAGCTCATTAGAGAAAGGTGAGTGACTCCCAGTGGCAATCAGAGAAACACCATCGTTACTCATACTCTTCACCAGACCTGAATAAAAAAGAAAGCCACTCTTTTGGAAAGGAGTTGCTATACAGCAGATAAACCCCAAGAGGAAAGTGAGGGTGGGGGAATGGAGCGATGACAAGAATGTAATTTCAATGTTGCTTTATGAAATGGAGGCATCAACTTTTCAGAGGTTTTTTTTTTAGACATCTGTCAGTCCAAGAGCAATACAGTTCATTCCTCCTCTGGAGATGAGGAAAGCATCAAGGAACCTTGTGTGTGCAGTTTGGGCTTGTGTTGGTGTTTACAAATATAAAATTTCCTATCACTACAGTTTCTGCTTTTAGTAAAAGGGCATGTTAATGAATCACAAGTACAGTCCAAATGCTACGGACTCATCTCTGAATTCGAACAAACAGATGATGCACAGCAGGCTAACAAAATCTAAACCTAAATCTAAATCAACCAAATCTAAAGTCTACACCACTACTATGTTCAAATGTAGCCTTAACTATTTAGCAACTGTTTAAACACAAATGATTCTGGTCTTGCACTACAGAACATCATGTAAAGCAGGTGCTACTATTACTGCAGGCACCACACGGGACAATGGGGCCCAGAGCAGAAACATGGTTCAGGAGCTGACTTCAGCATGCCAGACATTTTTTTAAAGGCTATTCCAGTGGATCAAAGGGAAACCAAGAATGTTTATGAATGTCCAGCTTATAAAACAAAAGCAGGAGGACAACTTGTGTTTTGACTTTCAAGCTGAAGATTGAGAAGTCAGGTAAATGGGTTCTGGCAGGAATAGTTTCACTCCTGGCAGTTTCATACTAAGCTTTCAATAAAACATGCTGCTTTCTCAGTCTGCCTGATAGCAAAAAGAGAGATTTTTCAGTCAGCTAGAGCAAAAGCTAGAGCATAAGTGTTACACTAAGGATTGTGTTTTTGTCTCACAAAAACACAATCCTTAACGTAACACTTACGTGGTCTATGTTGTTATTTCCTCATCCGTCAATGTTGCACTCATGTGTGTCTCCACATAATGATTATTGATCTCCAAGCACAATTACACTTGCTGTGGGAAAGTAAATGGGAAACATCAACATCACAGTGTAGTTTGAATCACAAAATACTCTTCTTTAGATCAGTCTTTATTCTCTCTATATAAAAAAGAAATGTGTATATTACAAGATTTTAACATACTTTAACATGCAATACAAATCTCTTGTATTTAAACACAGTTGTTTGAAAGCCTGGTTGTACAAATGAAAAAATATCTAAGTATGAACTGTAAGTAAAAAAACTTAATCCTGAACTCTGGTATAGACCAGTTACAACAGGTGGGTAGATGCTTCAGACAGCAGGTGCATTACACAAAAACTGCTGGTGAAAAGTTTTGCTGGATTTTTTTACTGGGATATTTTAAAATTCTTTTTAAACACTCTTCTACTTTCATGTTTTGGTGAATAATTGCACTTTGGAATAAAATTTTCACAAATCATCCTTGCACTGGTCGATTGCATCACCTTTGGCTGGAATATAATGGCATTCAGATGAAAGTACCTTCTCCTTACTTGCAAGGACAAGTTCTATAAACTACAGGTGGTGAAACAGGTTCAGAAGGCAGAGCTGGAAAAATGGATCTTTATGGTCAAGCTGGTAGACAAGGGTGTTTTGTTTCTTTGAAGATGGGATGCTTTGAAGGTAGTTGTTAAAACACCCTTTCTGCAAACTTGCACAATTATATAAATAAAAATATTGCTCATTTTGATCAAGCTGTCCGTCATGTGGTTGTGTAGCTCTGTTAAAAATTAACCACTCAAGGTTCAAGAGTGCCATTTCACTTAACATACAGGTCTGTGCATGTAGATTTCTCTACCAAAACATTTTCCTGAGAGATCTTTTGCATAAGACCATATCAATCAGAAAGTTTCCAATACAGAAATGAATATGCTATATACTACAATTCTATTTTATGTAAAACATAGTAGTAAACTTCTGAAGTCAAACTGTTAACATATTAACCAGTTTCAGGCATGGCTTGAGTCCAGTGCTCTCAATTGTCATCCGCCAGTTGTTTTTGTAAACTAGAAAATATGAGAAAACAGTGTTAGTGCTTTTTAGGAAACTCAGCTTCCCCATGAATTTCCATTGCTGAAGATGATAACTTACAAAACAGCACTTCTATACACTTCAGCCAACCAACATGAATTTCAGAATAGGCAGAAGCCTTTCAACTTTTTAATCGAATCAGTTGTTTACACGGACAATATACCTCTCTTCAAATAAGCTGATTTCAGCCAAGGAAAAAAATCTGAAATCCAAGAAACTTCTTTTGCACAGGTGCAGGATTTGCCCCAGGGCGTAAGAAGTCAAATGTTATTTAAAGGACTGTAAAAATTTAAAGTTTAAAAAGGAATGACCAGAGGGCAGAGCTCTCACCTTTCCAGGTACTCCTTGACATTGTTGTAGCCGTAGAACCTGGCCAGGTGGATGAGCATGCCGGTGGCACAGCGCCCGTCCCGCCGGCGGCAGTAGCTGCAGTTGCACACCCCGCGACACGGAGGACAGATCCAGGCCTGCAGGGGCGTGAACGTGGGAGAAGGGGAAAAGCAAGGTATGAAAAATGTTATACTGGCCATCCTGTTGCTCAGAGAAATGGGAGTATGGCTTCCCCACTATGGGATTGTTCAGGGCAAGGTTTTACATGCCTCTATCAGCCAGCCAGCCAACCTTATTAACATTTTCCAAATTCTGCAGGATTAGAGAATTATTAAGTGCTTGAATACTTCTTAGTCTGAAGCCTCAGGTTCTCTGATGTGCTCAGTATTGATTTTCAAATAGACTGAAGTCATCTATAATGCCTAACATTCATTCCATGTTAGGCTGACTGTAGACAACTCCCTACAAAGAGATGGGTACCCACTGTGACAAGTTCCTTTGCCTCTCTCTGCCTGCTGGTACGGGACAATTCCTGGGACTGAATTAACCAGCTGGTACATGAAGTTAATTACCTCCAAGCTGCCCAGCAATTGCACATAAAAGCACAGGTGCTAACAGAGCAGCCACTGCCACACTGGGCTAGCACATCAGAGCCATTAGTTAGTACTACAGATCTGCTCTTGGCAAAAAAGTCTGAACACTGTTACCATGAGCATGTTCTTAACATCACAGATTACTAACAAAACTCTATTCATTACACTTTCATTCCAGGTTCAAGAAAGATACTTACTGGATCAAGCAGAGCTGACTTCACATCTTCACCGTATCGATTTCGAAGACAGGGTCCACAGAACTGCCCCCTGACTCCTCCACAGCCCTGCTTGCGACAGATTGTCTTTGTATCGGTTGTCTTCTGTCGACACTGGTGGCAAGTACTACCCTAAAGGTGGAATGGAAGAGAAAACTATTTGTATGAAGGACATCTTAAATGCCCATTGATGAGCTTTCCTAATAATAATAAGCACAAATTCAAACCAAACCAAAGTCAAATTAAACAATGAAGAGCAAGTTCTGTTACCATGATAAATAATGTAATGATGCTAGGAATTTTACAGAGACAGTGCCAAGTTTCAATTACAAGTCTCAAATTACATGAACCTCATAATCATAGTTCTGGTCCTTACTTCTCTCCAAGAAAAACCTAAAACTATTGAGAAAATGATCTTGTGACTCATCCCTGCCAATACTATGAAGCATGACATACATGGTAAGATGATCTTTATGATAATCAATAATAACCAAATCCAGTGAAAGCAAGGAAGGAGAAGCTCCATTAAAAACACTGGACACTACACAACCTGTACAGAAATGTCATTTCCAGAGGTACAAAGAACAGCAGGGATCACTGTTATTTAATGGTACAACACAACATTTTTATTAGTGAGAGAGAAAAAGAGGATGCCAGCTCTTACCAGTGGCAAGTAATAGCTATAGCAAACTCGACTTAATAGCTCTGTGGCACAAAAACACTTTTCAGGGGCAAAAAGCCAGTGGGGAATATCAACCACCACAGCCAAGCCCAGAGAAGTCTGGCAAAGCTGTCAAAGCTGTACTTGTGTGACACAGTAACAGTGAGCTGAACTCCCCAGAGCCTCAGGAAAGGACACCTTTTAGCAAACACAGTGAAATAGTGAGAGACTTTTCATTTCAAGCACACAGACACACTGAAGAATATGGCAACCACTTACGAGAACTTTGTCATAGATTTTGTCTCTAACAGTGATTGCAATGTTGTCCAAGTCCTCCTCAGTTATGTCTTCTACCGGGCGATGAGACGAGTACTTCGATGTTCTCCTTCTTTTGCGTACTCCACAATCCCCCTGCTAAACAAACTCATCTCAATACCTTTTGTCTGATGTCATGAAGCCTCTGTCACCACACTTGGTGACAAATTCCTTCATTTACAATGGTCATGCAGTCTACAGCTGGGAAACTACAGGCTCATGTACCTCAACAGGGAAGAGTTTCCAAATCACCCCCGCCTCTTTCTCTCACTCTCCTCCATAATCTTTTCTCTACTACAAGTTTTATTCATTTGATTTAATTCCTTTCCATAATTACTACTTCTATTTGCACAAATCCTTGACATGTTTTACTGCTAACTTTTCTTTGCATTCCCTCTCCTCCTCCACTGTAACTCTTCATACTCCATTTGTTCCCTCTCAAAATCAAGAACCGTGATCATCTGCTTTCCCATGCTTTCATCCTTCAATCTCCTTGTACGTTCTCTAGTTGCTTTCTCCAATGACAATCTCTAATGTCCTGCAAAAAAAAAAACTACTGAAGTTTTAGGTTAGTCCTGCCAATCCCAGCCCTTTCTTATTAACCTGTTATTTGGAAGAAAGTACTCCACCATTAAGCAATTGTTTTTTCCATCTAAATGATCATTCCCTTTGACCCCTATTCATGAACAAATCTCATCAGATTCTTAGCCTTCCTCATACCTGTCTCTGAAGACCTCATTTGGCCTTCACTATAGATCAGTTCTGTTCTGTCCAAAACAGTCATTTACCAGCCCAGGTTCTCATTTGGTGCTACTCCTCTTCTTCTAATAGCCAAGTTCCCTCTATAATGCTTTAACTATGTCCAGCACTTGTTCCTACAAGCAGAACTGGGATCCAGCCTGGAAGGATTCAGACTTAAAGGGTCTTCCCCATAAGGGCTACACAGAAAATACAAGCAAGACAAATGACCACCATAGGCTAGAGGAGGAAAAAACCGTATTTTTAAAAATAGGAAAGAGTAAAACCTGCAACTTTTCAATTACTAGCCTGTACATTAACAGTTTGCTGGTGCAGATTCCCTTAATTCATTCTCAGTTCAGCCATATAACTCACATCTTCCTTCTGCTATTTCCAGAGAAGGATTTTTGCCTTTTTTTTCCTGAGTCTGGTAACGGAGAAGATCTGCTTTGCCACCTCCACCACCCCACTGCCTTGCCACTCCGAGGTTTTGTACATTATGGGCTCTAGTAATTTTCAGATGAAGAATTAATAACAGACCAGAAGTTAACTGTCTTGTTATGCCTGAGTCACACCAGTCACAAATAGAGCCCACTTAACAGGTGAAAGATGAGACAGACAGGCCTGGAAATAACTTCCGTAGCTAATCCCAACCAAAGATTTTCAATAACTTTGTGTAGGATGTCATGTCTGATCTAAGTGCTGGCCAACAATTTAAATGTTTCCTAGTTCCTGACTACTGGGGATATCAAAATCTGGCAAATACCACACTGAGTCTCTTCAGGAGGTTTTGTTGTCTGTAGCTACAGATGTGTTCTGCAAGTCTGACAGCTGACACAGTAAATTTTTCCAAGGCAAAATTTTCTGGTGGACGAGCAGTTCTGGTTGGGTTCATTCGGCGCGTTATCTGGCCTTCAGAGAATGTCCTCCTTGGGGTCTTCTTCTGCTTCTACAAGAGAAAAAAATTCCAGTAACTGTCTTTTCAGTTATGTTTGTAGTGTTAAACACTAGAAACAACCTGAAAATGTCTGTACCACACTTGTACTATCATGAATTGACCTACTGTTCTACTCCTTATTTGTTAAGCCAAACCCCACCACCAAATATACTTCCTACACACTATACCTTTTTTGCTACTTTTAAAAATTACACCTTAACGTCAATTTCCGTTCCAATTAACATCACAGAACTATACCAAAATTTAACATGTGGCACATTAGGGTGGTGGAAGCTAGTTTTCACTGCTCTTTGGTAACTAAATATTCTGATTTTCCCACAATCTGAATACACAACTGAGGAACATTGAGGAATAGACAGTTTGAGGAACAAGCTGAATTCTTGTTAATTTTCTTTTAAATTTTTTAAGCTGGAAAGGTATTAAGAAGTTGCTTCATTTAGTTCAAGATTCCTAATTTTGGAGATTCTTGGGAGGCGCTCTTCACACTGTCACACCTCCCAATTAGTGTGATTGAACTGATGAAACAGAAGTCCTGCATGGACATCTACCAAAGACATGGCCCTTCAAGGTTTCCTCAGATCTTTCCAGTTTATAATATACTGGAAAGATGCTACTCTACAGAGAAAGAAGGGTTGACACTCCTCTGGTTAAAGCTGAGAAAAGTAAATAAAAATAACTACTGTATCATTTCTGTTTGTGTTGAATGGTCCAATTTCATGAGCATAGCTCTACTGGGAAGCATGGATTTTAGAAGAAAACCCTACAAGAGGGAAATTAACAGAATCTAAACCCAAAGGAAAGCATGTACTCTTCCTTATTCCCACATACACAGACATTTGTCTAAGATCTCACAAAGTATTTCTGGAGCAAAAATGTAGCATCTCATCTTGGTCTTTGTCTTTCTACATAAAATATCTTATAAAATTCCATTTCCTTATGTAATCTCTGTCACTTTGCAAACCATAGCAAATTTATACAAATGAAGTGACCAAACTCAAAGGAAACCAGAAGAAAGTTTTGCTGAAAGTTTCTAATGAAACACATTAAGTCCAACATCTAAGTCTAACAAAAATTACTGTCACCACCAACCAGTACTGGGAACTTACTGAAGGAGTCGAGGAGGGCATTTTCACTGGGAACAGGTCCGGTATGGAATTCAGTTCTGCCAGCAGCTGGGCAAGCTGGAATCAAGTGATGTCACATTGAAAACTCACTGCAACTTATAAAACAAGCAACACCACCTACCATCCATTCTTCACAAGCACTTCAAATTACAGGTAAACATGTGCAAGGAACCTTTATGGAAGCACTTAAATAAAGTGGGGCTCATAAAAGGGGTTTTTTACTCTGCCATGAGCAAAAACTCTGCCAAGGATACTAACTTTATAGCTCCCACTAATTCTTACTGGGAATTAGAGCTAGCCGGATTTACATAGTATCTGGTCAAAACAGCACCAAAGGAGTGCATTACAACATGGTAATGATTGATAACAAGAAATTAAGTTCATATGATAGGAGGGAGAAAAAAAAGACAGGGTGCCAGAAGACAGTAAGATGTTCCTCAGTGAGCTTTTACTGACTGCAGATACATCTGTGCTCTTTGCCAGAGAGCTCAGCATCCCCTTAAGCAGTGCAGACACTGGGTACACACTCATTACGAAGCTAGAAAGCAACTGAGCCCCACTGGCAGTTCCCCCAATGCATGCATGTTCTGATCATGTACAGCATCAGAAGTACTTCAGCGGGATGATGATTTCTTGCACCGTGCACAAGATGTCTTTCTTGGAAGTACATTTCCACAGAAGCAGTGGCTGATAGGTACAAAAAAACCCCCTGATCTGTTCTGGAATTCCAGAATGAGGCTAACTTCTGAAAAGCCACTGGTAGTGGGGATGAGCCAAGCTGTTAGCTCTCTGAGATTGCCACAGCCATCAAGAGATTAAAAGCTGAATACAGTATTTCTCAGTAAATACTTCAGTGTGGCATTTATTAAGAGCTATTTAATGCCATTACAGTACTGCTCCTAGGATGCCAGTGAATTTCACAGTGGTTGAACTGCAAGGAAGAGTGGAAGGGGAGAAGGACCAAGGAACAGCAAGACCAACACAACAGCAGTGGGAACACATGACAGGTTAGAAGTACAGGTACAAAGCTGAAGCAAGTTTTTACACAGGAGCTGCAGGCCCACACCAAGAGGTACTGCTTGAGCTCCAAGACTGCTTGGAAGCTGCAACTTCCCTGAAACACTAATCACTGAACATCAGTCTGGATTACATAGCAGCATGATAATTAAAGAGAGCTGGTGGCATGTTGGATAATAGAGGAAAAAACATTAGTAAATGATCAGTTGCTCTTTTCCACACCTACACACACATACACACGCGTTCAGCAGTTATATAGTAAAGCAATACTGTAAAAATCACATCCCACACAGCTGAAAAATTACACTTATCATCCTCAGCAGTTTTTTGTTGGCTTTTTAATCAGTAACTGCAGGAGATCTGTCACACACAAACAAAAAGTAGAAACACTATTGTGCAAACAGCACCATAAACCACCTAAAATGACCAGCTGGTTTTCTGACATGTTCTGAAGGCTGCAAAACTTGGTAATTTATAACTTTGTTCATATCCACATTAAAAATTCTTAGTTCTACTCTGGTTTTAAACTTGACCAGGCTAGTCCCTACTTGAGGTTATTTTAGGGTTAAATGTCTGAGTGCTGAGAGTCCTCCAGGGTTTTCCAAGGTAGAAAAATTCACTGTAAGATTTTCCCAAAGTTCCAGCACAGCACCAACAGGGACCCTAAACTTCAAGTATGCTAAAGTAATTGGATGTAAATGTCAGAGAACAAAATACTGCTCTTAAATCTTACCATGGCTTTATTTTCTTTAATATTTATGGCTCTCTTAAGCAGTGCATTGGAACTTTCCTCCTGTGTTTCTTTAATGTCTTCTTCAGACTCTGAAGCAGAGCCCTCTACTTTGTCTGACCGCTTGAGAGGTGTGAGGGATTCACTGTCCTTTACAGGTAAATCAGACAAAGCCTGTTCAGGCACTTTTTTCTCAGATGACTTCCTAGTGGGAAACTGTAAAGCAACACGAAGGCCAAAGCTTCTTCTCTTGGGGGAAACCTTCTTCTTCATCTCTTCCTCCTCTTCTTTCTCATTACTCAACAAATTATCATGTTCTTCATCACTCAAGTCTGACTCCACCATCTAGAGGTAAGAAAAATCCCATGTTACATTACTGGTTCTGATACAAGAGAATTAATTTTTAAATCACTAGTTCCAGACAGCAGTCTTTCCATCCGAAGGCTGGAAATTTAGGTGAATTTATTCACCATAAATTAACATCTTTTTACAAGTTCACAGTACGCAACTTCTGCCTGTGCAGAGATCAACAAAACATCTACATATTAGTATTGTCTGAGATACAGACATGGCTGCCTCCAGAGGAACAATCTTGCCCAGTACAATCTACAAGCAGTGGAAGTAGTTCTCATTTCTAATATGTGATGCTACATTAAATAAAGCATTCTTTAGGACAACACATTTTAATTCAGCAAGAAAAAAGAGCACCATAGCGTATCAGAAAAATTCCTACAAGAACATGAAGTTTACACAGAAGAGACAGAAAAAAAAAAACAAGTCAACATATACATTCACATGTAGGTGTGACTGCCTTTACCAGAACTTCTTTCTTGTTCACCTGCACCTCGTTTGAAGCGAAGCCCTCAAACACTTCCGTTTCAGAGTCAGTGTCCTCAGTGAAAATCCTCCGCAGCTCTTCAGTGAGGTATCTGGACTGAAACCGGAGCCCCTGCAAAAACACCACTCAGCAGCTGTGACAGGCACTCGGATATAGAGCATTCACACAGCCACAATAAACAGGTTTGGAGGGTTAAGACATGCCAACTGAACATCATACTGTGAAAGCACTTTGCAGGCAAAGCCTGTCAAAAGAAACAAACAACAAGAAGACAACATTCAGTTTCAATATTGAGTTGTTTTAACTTTGCAAGATTTTTTTTTTTCATTCTGAGGACAGGGCTTTAACTGAGCTACTTCTTTTGGGGGAAACTTTCTCCTTCACTTCTTTCCTTCTGCATTACTACCCAATAAAAATAAACTATCAGTTTTCTTGTATGTAAATAATCATGTTGTTTTACATATTTTCTTCTGTTTTATGTATTTTCTTCAACAGGCCTTGAATAGAAGAAAATACAAATGAGAGATGGCGTCTGCTCCTCATGCGGTTACACCATCACTGAACTGACTGATGCCAACCCAAATGATCAGAGCTTTGAACAGCCTGACTAATATCCATCCCTCCACCTTTCAAGTTCTCAACTCGCTGGTTTTTTGGTGCAGTTTATCATTCACGTGGTCTAGGGTAGACAGCTCCTCAATTTCAGCCTATAGACCAGGAAGTAAAAACATCTCATTAAAACATTCCTCATGGTATGTACATCACATCCCCATTAAACACAAGGCTTTTACTAAACAGAAATGTATTTCCATACTTCCAACAAGAACTAGTAGAAAACCATTTAATCAACCTGTTCCTGCTAATCTCTTGAGAGACTTGTTCCTGGTAGGAACATAATCCATGTTCACATCACACCTGCCTCTTGAAAGTCAGCAACATACAAGTTTGTTTCCCCGATTTTCCTCTGTTACTTCTTCCTCCCACACAAGAAACAAAAATTACCTTTAATACAATGCATTTGCTAAATATCTTTATTCTTCCTTTAAATTCTCTCCCTTCCCTGACTTTAATTACCCATTTCTTTATTTTAAGATAATATCTGGTGAAAAAAGATACAATAGACGAGTGGAAAAACTTAGAGGGGAATGGGAGGGGGGAGACACTGCATATGCTGTTTCTTTACACTTAAACATCTACAAATTATTATGGGTAATTGTAATGAGTTTTCTCTAAGGAAAATTACTTTATTCCTTTGTTGATAGCTGCAGTGCAGCTGCTTGAGAAAGGAACAAACACAATAGGGAAGTTACTTTAAAGTTAAATTGCATTTCTTGGAGAAAACTTAAGTTTTTATGTATTCTGTCTTTTTATGAAATTCCACAATGAAGGTTGATGGGGGAAATATGCTATTTGTTAACTAAAGTGACTAAAAATAACACACCTACAGCTATGCTGTTCATCTAAGAAGAACAGTCTACACCAGGTAAAATACACACCAGGGATAGCTATTGCGGGAGAAATTGTGGGAACTCGGGAAAAGCGCAGAGATTATCAGAGCAGAACTGCAGAAAGCCCTGAGGAAAAGCAGGCAAACAGAGGTCATTACTTGCTAACTCATTTGCACCTCAGCATCCAAGGGAACACCTGATGCACAAATAGCCCATTTGTCACCCCAGCAGGGCAGCTACCTTGCATCCTTTCTCAAGTACTGCTGAATTCTTCTGAATTTCCCATCATTTTCCCCTTTGCACCAAAACTCTTTTGTTTCCTGCACAAGTACCAATGGCCTTTTGCTGCCATAGTGGTGTTTGCCACCATGAACACAGGATGATGCTCACTGATGCAGGGCCCAGATGTGCAAGGACTGCAGATTATGCTGCAGTTGGATGAAACTCAGGGTATTTTTATTTTACCATTTAGTGGTAAAGAAATTAAATTCAATACTGATCAAGATTTAAAATAATTCTCATCCCAAGGGAAACACAGGAATAATAAGGAAGGTTGCGTGCCAGCTGTAAATCTGGAACAAGTCTCACTGGCATTCTCAGCAATGCATGTTAAACTAACTACCTATCTCTTCCACGGCATTTTTCATCAGAGGATTTTAAAATGCTTTGCAGAAAAGATCATTATCATAAACTCTATGTCACAAGTTGGGAAATCAAGGGAGGGAAAAGTACGGTCAGGTGACTGCAGCCCCCAAGTAGGCAGAAGCAGAAGCTCCCACACAAGGTTTCCCCTCCACCACCAATACCTCTCCCCACTGACCCTTCTTGATGCTCCCCAAAAAAAAACCACAAATGCAAGAGCAAGCTACCTCCTGGTTTTCTGAAGTTGCCAGTACTGCTGTCTAGCAACTAGATTACAAACCAACTTAGAGCCCAGTACATTTAATTACATCTTAGACACTGTCTTTCTCCACAGCACAGACTGTGGCTCTACCCTCAAAAGGTTTCTGCACTCTCCTGGGGTCACTTGCCTATAAAGGCTGAGAAACAGAACATACTTGTAACAAGCCTTATTCTGTGTCTTTCTTTGGCTAACACTAATCATCCTCCTTGTCATCAGCACCTCTTAACCAGGTGCTGGCCTGATGGACTAGGAAAATAAAATAAAAAAAAATTCAATTATCTCATTAATGAAACAGAAGACCTTTGCAAGAGCACAAATGACAAAGGTAACTTACAACACATTAGCCCATGGCTGTCAAGCATGTAATTATAGTTTTCCAAAAGACTAAAACTAATTTTTTGCCACCCAAGACAGTACACCAGTTCTATTCTTTTCTTGTGCAGCTGGTATCTCCAGCTACCAGAGACAAAAAAATATCAAATCATTGTGCTGATCCAAGCCACTTCATCAAGAGAGCCAAGAACCAGCAGATTGTATTACTGCAGCAGGAGCTGATGCCTTCTCTGGATTACCACTATTAAAACACAATTTTGATGCAAAGACAGCGTGGAGATATTTCTGGAAGAAATACTTTGAAGCCTACATACTCACAAATGCCCATCCAATATCATGTATTTTCACTTACGTATCCTGCAACATCTTTCCAGGATGGTAATTCCCTTTTTCCTGTTTGCTTATTCTTAACAGAATAAGCAAATCAAGCAATTCTCAAACTTACCTATTTCACTTAAACTCATCTTCTGATGAAACACATTTTTTTTTTTGTATTATGAAGGTGTTTTCAAAAGCAACCACTAAACCTAAATATTAAGTTTGTTTATATTTAAGTTTAATATGGGCGCTGCAAATTACAGATTAAGGTGAGAGTTATAATTCACACAGTTTTGACACAGGCTCAGAGTATTACTGCATCCCGAGAGCATAACTGGACTATGGAAATCTGTTCCTACCTCTTTTCCAGACTCCACAGATTCAGAACTAGCACAGTTGTCCTCTGACAAGAAGCTCTGTTTGGAAGCATCATCTTGGAATCCTGGAAAATCTTCACTGTCACTGGGGGTATTATAAATGTTGGCCACATCCTTGGGTACCTGTTTCTGATTCAAAACAAAGCAGAAAATATGAGTCACACACACCAACTTAACAGGAAAACTCAAATTCGCAACCATACAATTTATTTTTATATTACTATGCAAGCACAAGTCTGTAGCACAAAATATGCTATGTGTAAATTGTACCTTATTTAGCTAAACTCCAGGAAAATTCTGTATAGACTGTTTTAATCCCTGAATACAAACTCGGGATCTGGGATTAGGGAGGGGATGCAATACGCAGGGTGTTCACCTCCACAGGAAAGTACTTCAGAGACATAAAAAAATACATGTGTGCCTCATCTTCACAAGCAGGAGCTCAGGGCACCCTTACCCAAGGGGAAACCCACCACCCCTCCTGCTCTTCCAGAGCAATGGTGGCTCAGAGGTGAGGAACACAACCTCAAACATTACACAGGCTAAAGTACAAAGAAACCTGACCTTTAGATCCCACAGTACCATTATGGATTTTAGCAGATACTTAGCTAACTCCAAAAACTAAACCAATGAAACTCGTTCTCCTTGGTCAGTACTGTCACAGAGCTTCTCCTGTGACACTTACTAAGAGAGTGAAAATGTGCTAACCAAGAACATTTCTCCTTTGCTAGAAGCCCATTATGTGTCCCACCAGGAAAGGGGGAAGCACAGCCAAGGACAGGCAGCAGCCTTCCTGAGGTGACCAAGGTCACAGCTTCAGAGTTCAAGAAGTCCAGTCCCAGCCTAGGAGACTTGTAACACACCACCAACCATTCCACTGGGCCATATACTTCACAGCAAACACTTTGAATAAGGCTCTGCACGTGCCAGGATAGTAAGAAAGCCTTCAGACAGTTCCCATGTGGGCTGCTTTAGGATCTGGTGGGTGTAAGGATGGGATGAACAGATCAAGCCTTAAAAAACAAGGAAGAAGGCATTTTGCCAAGTTTCAGAACACATTTTCACACATCCAAGTATCATCTGCAAAACCATTCTGCTAGTTGCACAAATGCTCTGGGAGACCCGTGTCTGCATTCCTCTCCAGCATCCAGACACTCGTCCCCTGCATCCCCCAGACCACACACACACCTCACACACACCACTCTGACTTGAAACAAGCCTCTATGCTGTTTGCTAAAGCCACACTCTCATTAACTATCACGAACATGAGATCAATGACCGCCTGGTCAGAGGCCAATTCTTCATCTCAAAGTGCTGTTTTCCAGCCCTGAACATTCACCAGTACGTCTCAGAGATGAGGTTCAGAACCGAGACCAGACTGCCCTTTTCCACTGTCACAGAAAACCAAGGCTGCTCATACAGGGCATATATAATGATGATTTTTTTTTTTCCCTAAGCTTACTTGTGGCAAGGCAAGTGATCCAAAGGAGGCTCATTCTCCAAAAGTAATGTAGCTGCAAAAGTTCCACTTCCATTAAAACAGCGAGCAGTACCTTCACCAAAGCATCACTCTCTGAAATAAGCTACAGTAAAGGGTGAACTTGAGCCTAATTTTATTCTTGTTCTGATCTTATAAAGCTGATGTAGCCTGATGCAAAACCAACTTACTGTTGCTGGAGCAAGAGTAGAATTCACCTCTGAAAAACTGACCCTCTTAGGCCTATAATGGCATGATCCAAAGTACAGCTGCTAAAGTCATGCTGTCCACGTCCAAACCCCTTTGGATATTCCCTTACTCCCACATCCTACAGTGAACATCCACAATCCACTTCCATTGCTGTGACAGAATTCACTCAGTACAGAGCAGTGCTAAAAATGAAGGATTGTGCATTATAATGGAAAAACATACAAGGAGCTGAGAGTCTCACTGCTACGAATAAATTGCTTCCAGAAGCCACAGCATTAGTTCTTGTGCTAATATACAGCTGAGTTAGCCACTGCTGTGATTACTGTATGCCTGATTTGCTCTTCTTCACGTACTGCTTCGGCACCTGCACCAAAGGAGTCATTATGAGGCTGTAATTACTGATTTTGAACAAGAAGAAAAAAATTCTTTCCCAGTAGGAGACTTAATTTTTTTGCATTCCCAAATTCTACAGTACTGGTACTGATTTAAGTAACTTACTGTAGAGCTCCAAGGATTTTGAGTTTGTGACTTGCTCCCCATAGCCTGATTACAAAGAATCTCAATTTGGTCACTGATGAGTCCCCATTTTACCAGAAGGGCTTACATAATAGACCACAATGGACTGCTGAAATGCTGCAGGTGTGAGAAATACTGTCTTTTAAATATACCTCTTAAAAAGGCTAAATACCTTTTAAGAACCTTTAAAGTCTAGTAAAAGCTGGAAATAATTCACAGCTGCTGAAAAAGTCAGTGTTATTTGTTAGGAAGTTTTATATCTATTGAACTAATTTATTTTTGCACATAAAACACACTTAGTTGTTTAAAATCCCTACGAGGTACTATTCAAAAGCATCAGCAAACCTTCCCCACTACAGATGGCACACAATCCAACAACTGCCAGAATAACAAATCCTATGTTTTTGCAGAACTAGTCCAAAGCTCAAGACATTCACATCTCTCAGGTTTTCCTCACATTCACATCTCCCAATACCACCAGTATACCGAGAGCATACTTGGATGTGTTGGGCTGCATGGAGATCCTATTTCCACAGAACCAGGGTGAGTAGCTCGCATGTGCCTGCGGAGGCTGGCATGTCTGTCACCAAGGGCAGAGGGTGACAGAGGCTGGTAGGATTGTCAAAACTGTTTCAGTCACATCAACTATTGAAAAGTAAAGAACCTAAGGTCCCCAGCAGTCACAAGAACATTTTTCCAAGCACTATCCCCATGAATTCCACCTTGTTAGTCAAGGAAAAAAAAGAAAAGCCCAAGGTGAGCTGTTTTGCTATTCACATCAACAGGAAGAATTTTCATGTTTCAACTGAAAAAGCGACTTTTTTCCTGACACCAAAGCCAGAAGAGATGCACCTTGCTCTGCAGGCTGTGAGATCACCTGCCTGCATGCAAACCCGTGGATTTGGTGGGAAGCAAGTTATTTCTACACCACTTACTACCCTATTTAATTTTAAGAGTTATTTACACACGTCACTTTCCCTGCCAATTGTCACACAAGCTCATTCTTCTCCAACAGTGATGTATCAGGAGAACCTACAGCATAAGAAGCAGGGCTAGATGTAGTTCTCTATTTCTGCTACCACCATGGGGAAAAAAAAAAACATTTGGGCTGTGTTCCCTTAATTCAATTTAGCACAATATATGGGTATTCCTACTCAAAGCAGAGGACAGACAAGTTCAGGCACGTTCAAACTCAGTCAGACTGAAATTACCAAAGTTTAATCCCAAGCAGATACTCACACAAACCAAACCTGTGCAAAGTCACACCTTCAGCACATGCTGGAAAGCCTCTTGACTTGTCCCAGCCTAAGGCACACCACCCAAGGGCACTGCATTTGGCTGGTACCTCAAAGGAACAACCGAACAGGGAAGCACTCCAAGGCTGACAATTGTGGGCAGTGCTACAAGAATAGAAAGGCCCAGCCAGAATGTCAATAGGTGCCAGACCAAAAAACCAGAACTATTCAGAAGTCAAGATCCTGTTTTTTCCACTCTAACAGCACTCTAAAAGCTTAGTTTTAAGCATCATACAAATGTGTGAAAGACATGGAAAGCATAGAGATACAAAACCCCCAACAGCAGTGCTAAAGAATTACACAGACTGGATGCACAGTCAAAAAGACTGTTAAGCACACAATCAGCTCAAGACTCATGGGCATCAACAAAATCTAGGAAGGCAAGGAAGATCCTAGATGACCTCTGGAATTTCTCAACATCATTAAAGCACAAGAAGCTGAAATCCTCTGGATAGTGAAGTGTATTCCGGCCATAAGCGGCAGGAGATGAAAAGGCATGTGAGTGCTCTGAAAGAAGAAGGAACTGATAGAACGAGCAGTCATCACCCACTTTTATGATCTTTGCAGGAATTATTTGATTCTAAAGTAAAGATGGATTATGCCTGAGCCTTTAATCCGTCTCAGCAACAACTCCTGGGACTTTGAGGGTGCTCCCTCAAAAGGTTCTGGGAATTTTCACACCAGTAAACCCATTGCTCCATGAAATTTTGGTAAATCCTGCTGTTTTCAGAACAGCCAGCCGAACATGGTGTCTATATTGCCTTATCTGGACTGATAATAAGCTAATGTCCATAAAGCTACTTTATCCTAAAATAATGAATGCCCAAGTGTCATAATCACACAGCAAATAATTTAAAATGTCACCTTCCACAGGCAATACCTTCCTGGAAACGATTTCCTACTCTTCAAAAATGCTGGCAGTACTGTGAGTATCAGCATGCCAACATATGAACATAATCCAAACACTACCAACTGCTACTATTTCTTACTTTGTACCACCTAATCTCTTACCAATCCTAACAGTTGTAACAACTATTTCTGAATTAACTCTGCATAATTCAAGAGCATCCCATGGTGATGCCTAATTACTGTCCAAGTCCTGGTATTCCAAGGAAAACAATTTTGTACAACACTGCGATGCATCCTCACTGTGCCTGGACGGCTCAAGTCCAGGACTTGAGTTCAGGCCTTGTGGGTGCAAACACTTAGTCACAGCCAGTGTCCCTTTAACAAGCTCTGTGTACTGAAACTGCTGTGCCAGGACCTGGTAAATCAGACCCTGGGACAGGAAATGGAACTGCAGGTCTTGAGATTCAAAACAGTTTTGTACTGCTGACGTCTTCAGCAATTGTTTTCAAATGGGGGCATGTACTCACAAGCCAATCTGCCCGTCAGCAGTGACGGTCCATGACTTCAGAGGCAAAGAGACCTTCGCTACCACATCCTTCTGGCCCAGCCAGGACTGAACTCACTGCTCACCAATGTATCACAAAGACAAGGCAGAGCCAGCAGAAGGTTGTACTCAAACAAAAATAAACTCCCATGAGAAACAGGAAAGCACCAAGAACAGACACTGTCCTTCTGCCCTTTGCTGAGCCTTGAAAGAAACATGATGCACGGACTTTAGCTGTGTACCAGAAAGGGAACTAGCAGACAGTAAGAGTCTTGTGTTACAGAAACAGAGGTGAGAACCGAGTGCCATTTGTGTCCATAGTCAAACAAAGTTAGCCCGAACTGTTTTATAGTGCCCTTATCTTCACACTGCCAGTGGAGGGCCTGAGGTCATACAGAGGTGGAAGGTCTTTGCGAGGACAGAGGTTCTAATAAATAAATAAAAACCCCTGTAAAGCTCTAACTTTCCATCAGCAAGAGTTGAATGAGATGCTGAACTTCTCCTTGCTCCTTCCCACCACCTGGGCAGCTCACCACGACTTAAAGAAAGTCAATTTAGACTACATATAAGGAGAATGATAAAACACTAGAACAGGTTGTCTAGAGAGCTGGTAGATGCTCCACCCCTGGAAACATTCAAGGTCAGGTTGGATGGGACTCTGAGCAATCTGATTTAGTTTAAGATGGCAACACTCCTTCAAGGAGGTTGACCAGATGAGGTCCCTTCCAATCCTAAGTACTCTATGATTCTATAGCAATACCACCTCCCGAGATCTGAACCACACAATCAGCCTGATGCACCCAAGCATGCGGCACCAGGCTTGGACCAGACCACAGCATGCCTCTCAGGCGACTCAAAAATGTGCCAGCGTTGGCATCGTGGCGTTTCAAAAGAAAAAAAAAAAAAGGAAAAAAAAAAAATAGTATTAGCTATTTCTAAAGTGGTATCCCCAGGCTCACAACTAATTAATTGTCAATGATCCACTCCAGACTTTATTAGAGCCGCTACAAGTCCCAGCACAGCTGCAGCTGCCCCACGCCGCTGCTGAGTGCCTCAGGGCCGCCCCGAGGGCAGTTTCCACCTCATTCCCGGCCTTTTACAACCGCGGAGCCGCCGCGCCACGTGGATGGCTCCCGGCGGGACCGCGGGCCGCCCGGTGTCCCGGACAGCGCGCTGCGGCGGGGGCGGTGCGGGCGCGCCGGGGGAGCCGCCCCGCGCTGGCGGTCACTCGCCGGCGCCGGCGGGCAGCTCCTCCGACCCCTCACGCCGCGGGCAGCGGACAAAGGCCGCCGCTGCCCCGGGCAGGCGGAAAGTTGCGGGCCGGATCCCTGCCCCCGCCGCCCGGCCCCGCTCCGCCAGCCCGCGGGCCGCCTCACCTTGCCGCGGGTCCCCGCCGCCGCTGCCCCCCG